GTCGACTTTCCTATGTTGAACTCAGCTATTAGTTACGATGAACCTTTACCAGCGTCTAGTCTGTTTAAAATTTCCACTTTTTGCGATAACTCCAAAGTTGTTCTTTCCCTCTTATTCCCATCATCTTTTGCTCCAATACAAGCCATTAGGGTAGAATATGCATAAGCAATTATTCAAAGTAAATTTCCTGAAAAACAGAAATTTCAAATCATTTACATATCACCTAAATAGATCAAATATACACATCAAAATCATGTCCGGATATGCGGGATTCCGGATATGAGGCACTCCGGATATGAGGGATTCTGGATATGAGGGATTCTACTGTATAATGTTTTTAGTATATAGTCTAGCCGGTTTCATTTAGTTTATTTTTCTTTATTTTTTCATCTGTTTTCCTACTAAATATCGCCCATTGTGAGAATAGAGTATCAGCTAAGAAATGTGAAATGTTGTAAGGACCTGAATGTAAATTTCATCATTTCTGGCAGATCTTCTATTATTACAACGCAGGGTATTTAATAACAAAATCGATGAAAACGCGGACAGAATATAAACAGAAACTAGAGGAAATCGGCAAGGCCAAAAACTTACGTTAAAAAAATTAATTTAAAATTATTAGCAGCCTTCTGCTGTAACGTAAACATTATTTAAACCGATGAAATTCTAAAGAATGAAATGTGTCACATGAAAACTTTTTTTAATCAATTGCTTGGCCAGCTGCAAAGAAAGTTGGTTCACTGTACCGTGCAAGACAATTTTTCTCTCCAGAATCTATCTGTTGTGGTAGGATCCACCTAATTTGCATAGTGGAGTACCGACCATATAAATATGGTTGGTACCGGAAAGAGAGGGAGGAATCAAGAGATTCAACCAGAGACTCTGCCCGACTGCGACTCAGTCAACACATTCTCCAGGAACGGTCTTACCAGGAATATACAAAAGACTATATGTAAATATTGTGTACACTTTCTTGTTTCAATACATTTTGTTTTAAGTACATTTTGTGTTGCATTATTATTCCATGCATTAGTCAAGTTTCAACACTATCTTACATATCTTTACGTCTACCATTCATCCACATTTAAAATATTGCTGCCATACATGGTTCGCTGCTGCTGCTATTCAGATTGAGTTCCCTGATAAAATAAAAATAAGAAATAAGAAATGTTATTGGTCCTGATCTGGCATATCGGCTTCAGTCACCTTCCCACCGCCGTAAGGTTGCCTTTCAATGTTTTAATTTATAAATAATTTCACGGTAATTATTCGGATGGTCTCTTCGCTATGGTACGTAACTTTCATGAATTTAAGTGCATTACTAGACTGGCATCGAGATCTCACCAAATTAATGTCGAGCTAGCTAGATGTAACCGTAAGATCGATGCTAATATTTTCTTTTCAAGCATTTCTCGCTTATGGAGCTATCTTCCGGCTTCATGCATTCCAGCCAGATTTAATCTTCATAAATTTAAATGCAATGTCAGTCGCTATCTACTGTCCTCCTTTTCTTTTTTCTTCCCGCTCTTTATTAAAGTTTCTGTTTCTAATCCTTTCACACCCAGTAACCCCTTGTGGCTTAGTGGCTTTACTGCCTTGCATGGTGTAAACTCGATAAAAAAAAACTTTTTCCCTCCTTACACCAGTCTGTTCTTGGATTTATGCCTTCCAAGGTATTAGTGCGATGTGATCGAAACAGTCTCGACGTATAACTTACTTTGTATCACGAAACGTATCCATTTTTTCTTATTTGCTTTATATATATATTATATATATATATATATATATATATATATATATATATATATATATATATGTGTGTGTGTTGTGGTAGGATCCACCTAATTTGCATAGTGGAGTACCGACCATATAAATATGGTTGGTACTGGGAAGAGAAGGGGAGGAATCAAGAGATTCAATCCAGAGACTCTGCCCGACTGCGACTAAGTCAACACATTCTCCAGGAACGGTCTTCCCAGGAATATACAAAAGACTATATGTAAATATTGTGTACACTTTCTTGTTTCAATAAATTTTGTTCTAAGTACATTTTGCGTTGCATTATTATTCCATGCATTTGTCACGTTTCAACAATATATATATATATATATATATATATATATATATATATATATATATATATAAGTAAACCTAACTAGGTTTTACCTACGCGGATCGTAGTTCTTTCTTTTTTCACCCTTTTTTCACTTCTTCATTTACAAGCTAAAACACCTAAGGTTTTACCGGACGAGTATAGATGCTTACATCTATAAGTTTATTAGTGTTATTATATATATATATATATATATACTGAGACATGTTTCGTTGAATAATTAAGACATGTTCTGTCTACTTATTTTCAATTGGATCCTTTCATATTCACGGATAAGCTTTTGGGTGTCGTTATTGAAGGACGAGAGAAAATCGCCGTGTTGATACATATTTCTTTTATCCAAGTACTTTCGACATAGCACAATATCCTCGCCAGGCTATTGTTTGGGTGCCATGGCAAAGAGTTCATCTGAACAATTACCATGAAATTATTTACAAAAAAAAGGCACATGAATGCTACATTACGGTAGTGAGAAAGTGACTGAAGCCGAGATGCCATGTCAGGACCTATAATATTGCTCATTCTTCTTTAGATTCTATCAAGAAACTCTACATATACAGCAGGAACACCAAACTATAAGTAGTAGTAATATTCAAGGATTGTACGAATGGTATATATATATATATATATATATATATATATATATATATATATCCAGCTATGGGTTAAATAGCAGGACAGACTGGGTTCTATATCCTTGGATGGCAACTAGTCTAGGAGAAGGAAAACTTTGAATTCAAAACTTGAGGGGGGTTGTTTGGGGACCTTGTGACACGTAGTGCACCAGGTCTCTGTATTCGGCCCTTCAAAAAGTGTGGACTATAATCGAATCTCATGTGCCGGTGTCGGGCTGTCAGTTTCCAGGGAACTGATCTGCTTGACCGTCATACGTCGAACCCGGCGGGAGAATTGATTTATTTAAGAGAGATTCAGGAGATGAAAATTGTCCAGTGAACCAGCTTTTTAGCAGCAGACCTAGCAATTTATTAAATATAATGTTTCCACTTCAGCCGAGAATATAAGACCGATAAAGTACAATGAATCACTCTCATGCAGGTTAGCTTCAGGGTTTTTTCAGGTGATTGATTGAGAGATGTTTCGTTTTAGAGATGTTAAAATTAACAAGCCACTCATTGCTCCAGTTAACAACAGACATTACGTCATTTTTTTTTAGGTCGGCTACCAATTTCACCATATGATTATTTATATTGTTTACATTCAGACTATGGTCATCAAACTCTGTTATTATTATCACAACGTTTCGACTGTTGAACACTACAATCATTTCCATGGGTTTCTTGATCCGGGTAACTATTAGGGAATTTCAAAATGAACCCTTTATTTAATCTACAGGAGTAGATTGCTCTAGTTCTAAAGTTCATGTCTAAAGATATCTGGACTTATTTGATACTACCCACTTATTTTTTTCCATTGTTTCCACTGCATATTTGCCTGCACTATCGGGCACAAAGATTGTACGCACGAAACATATTTAAGCCACTAAGCAATTTTTCTGCAGAGCAATCCAAAACATAGACCTTGGATCTTGTAACCAAATGTTTCTCAGTCCTACTTGCTGCTTACGCAGCTGTTGCTAATGCTTCTGTGAGGCTTGACTGCGTTCATCGAGGTTTCACTATCCTTACTATTGCTGCTACTGAGACTGTCATTTCTCCTCCCCAGAACGGTTGCTTTATAAACCGAGTGGATACTCCCCCATGTCATAAACAACTTTAACCTCTTCAAGTTCAGATTCAACTGTTATCTATCCTACATAACCTCAAAAAAGTCTTGCTTCCTCCCTTTGCACCCTTTAAAAAAATGATTTTTTCCATTTTGCGTAAAATAGTGATATCAATCCAGTGAACATTTTTCTAGTTCTTACGAAAAATGTTTGAAAATTCCAGTGAACAGTTTTCGCTTTTATGAAAATTGGATGAAAATTTCGAAAAACAATTTTTCCTTTTCATATAAAAAATTGAATAATTTCAGAACATTTTTTTTTAATAATTTTGCGAAAAATATTGGAAGTCAAAAATAGTGATCTGAATTTGTTTGACATCGAAGGGTTATAGATCCAGTGCAAACGCGCCAAATTTTATGGATCCAGTACGAACGCACCAAATTTTATGGATCCAGTACGAACGCACCAAATGTTGAGTCATCCAGAAATGGAAACTGAAACATTTGGGTGAATTCTTCGCTAAGACTGATAGAACAGCTGTCTTTGAAATAACTATGGCATTACTTTTCATTTTGTCCTTAGATTTATTGTAGGGTGCCTTGATCCAATATCATTTGAGTGCCTGGAGCCAATATCTTTTCAGTGCCTAGATCCAAAGCTATGAGAGAAAACGTTTAAGATTAGCCATTAAATCTTAACCTTTTTTTTTATTTTAAGCCTTCCGCATCCATCACAACATAAACCGAAACTCGACCTTTGACATCAAGGTAGGAAAATATTGAAGAGTTCATTTAGTGTTGCCTGGAAAAGCCGAAAATGTTTTCCCATATAAATCAATAGTACAAGTTTATTCACTTTACGTTACGTTCTGCTCACTAATGATCTCGTAAGAAAGCTCTACTTTCAGATAGCGAAATAATTTCGAAATTAGAAAGCATATAAATACTTGTGTAGAACATATGGAAGGAAGACAGAAACCAACTACTGGAGAGAGAAAAACATGAAAATGCACATAGATAGATTTGTAGTCTAATGATGGCGAAAAGCATTGATTGTATTCAAGCAATATGTATTTTTCAAAATAATTTCTTTCAATTTCAATGCACTTTGTTCAGTGGTAAATATTGATCCCATAGATCGAATGTTAGGAAAATTTTCTGTTAATAACTAAACGTATCATACTACAAATGTATTGATCCGCACTTGTAGATAGATAGATAGATAGATAGATGATAGATAGATAGATAGATAGATGATAGAGATAGATAGATAGAGATAGATATTTACTTGGATAGATATTTATGTATGTAGAGACTGGGATAGATAGATAGATAGATAGATAGATAGATAGATAGATAGATAGATAGATAGATAGATAGATAATGTAAAGACGGTGATATATATGTATATAGAGACTTGGTGAGATAGATATGTATGTAAAGACTAGCATGGGTGTGTATGTAGAGACTGAGATAGATAGATAGATAGATAGATAGATAGATAGATAGATAGATAGATAGATAGATAATGTAAAGACGGTGATATATATGTATATAGATACTGGGTGAAATAGATATGTATGTAAAGACTAGCATGGGTATGTATGTAGAGACAGAGATAGATAGATAGATAGATAGATAGATAGATAGATAGATAGATAGATAGATAGATAGATAGATACACTTAAAACAATGATCTGTACTCAAATTCCTGTTTTTGATCCCAACTAATCATCTGCGCCCATGGCTCTGAGCCATATGAATATAAGGTACACTAGATGGATAGACAGATAACCAGTCGCGTAACCCTCGAACAATAGCTAACCGAATTTTATCCTTATATCTGATCTTAATTTCCATCGATATTGAGAGAATATAGCACAATAAATATATATATATATATATATCAAGAGAGAGATAATAAAGACTTATCGAATACAGCTATTATTGATCTTGATTTTGCCGCCAAAATAGATTCAGTCAGCCGAGATGTTTTATTTTTAGCTCTGTGCAATATTAATCCGTTGTTATTTTTATAAGATTCAATTAGGAAACATCTCGGCGAAGATAAAAATAAATGAGAAACAAAGAAAGAGAAGATGCTTCTGTGTATATCAGGTCCCGAGGCATGGGATTCTATTTTTAGCTCTCCTTCCTTCCCAAACCCCACGCATGCGTATTCAGTCGTTTGATGGAGTAAGTAATGAATACTTTATCTATGTATAAATGTATACATTTGAAGCGTGTGCCAAATTGGGTGTCTCTTGGGGTGAGGGACTCTCTGTGTGTGTGTGTGTTATTTCGGGTATAAGTATTGACATAGGTATATTTGATTTGTGTAAACTTTCCAGCGGTTTTTTTTTTTAAAAGAAAAGAAAAAGAAAGAAAAAAATTGGAATGAAAGGAAAATGAAAAAAAAAAAACCTGGAATAAAAGAAAAAAAAATAATGAGAAAGATTGAAAAAAGAATTGGAATGAAAGAAAAAAAAAAAAACCTGGAATAAATGAAAGGAAAATGAAAAAAACCTGGAAAAAAAAAAACCTAAAAATAATGAGAAAAGAAAGAAAGAAAGAAAAGAAAAGAAAAAATTGGAATGAAAAAAAAGAAAAAAAAACCTGGAAAAAAATGAGAAACCTAAAATAAAGAAAAGAAAGAAAGAAAAGAAAGAAAAAAGAAAGAAATGGAAAAATGAAAAAAACCTGGAAAAAAAAAAAACCTAAAATAATGAGAAAGAAAAGAAAGAAAAAAAAGAACCTGGAATGAAAAAAAAAGAAAAAACCTGGAGAAAGAAAGAAAGCTAAAGAAAAGAAAAGAAAGAAAAGAAAAAAAAGAAAAAGAAAAAGAAAAAAAAAAAAAAAAAGAAAGAAAGAAAAAAAAAGAAAAAAGAAAAAAAAGAATGAAAGAAAAAAAAAAAAAAAAAAAACCTGGAAAAAAAGCGAGAAAGCTAAAGAAAGAAAAAAAGAAAGAAAGAAAGAAAAGAAAGAAAGAAAAAAAAGAAAAAACCTGGAATTTTCTTAAAATGGAAAGAATTTTCTTAAAATGGTTTCTTACTGTGTTCCCAATTTCTGTTTTTTCAAAAAGCAAACGCTGGAAAGTTTTGCACAGTCGCAATATTTATTCAAAGGATTATCGTAAAATGGAACTCGAATGATATACGCGATACATGATAAAACCATTTTTTATAAGTGAAAATTTGGGGTCGCACGATACGCGAGTTGGCGCATTATACGAGTATATACGTTAATTTAGATTTCTTTGGTTTATATATTATGTACGTTTCTTAGCTTATATTAGTGTGTTCGTGCATGCGCGTAGCATAGTGGGTATTGCCGCAAACGTGGATTCAGCGTACCGTGTTCAAGTTTCGGCAGAGGGAGTTACATTCACTTTGCTCTAGAACCATTATAGGAGAAATAGAAGGGTAGATTCGGCTATCTAGCTTTGGTTGGCAACCCATGTAAGAGAAGGAGAACTCTGTGTTCAAAATCAGACTGAAGACAGGTCGTCCTCATGTATCACATGTACTTCTCCAGCGACCCTAAGGAGAATCGTGATTAGGTTTATGTTTAAAGTTTAATCTTTCGTTCATATAAATTCGTAGCGTCATTACTTAGCAATCCGATTGTTTTCCCTGGTCTTATTCTCACAAACGGGGCCTAACTGACGCAACTATATTGAGCAGGAGTAGACGTTTATACTTTGTTTTCTGTTTGGGATTGGGGTTCCGGTTCCTCCTAAAGTCTTCTCATTGTCTTTCCCTCCCAGTAACCTCCTAGCGTCTTAGTCGAATTATCGCCTTACTTAGGGTGAATTAATTAACACGCACACGCGCACAAACACACACACATGCACACACAAAAACACACATACACACACACACACACACACATATATATATATATATATATATATATATATATATATATATATATATATGTATCTATCTATATATATATATATATATATATATGTATATATAGTGTGTGCAAAAGTTTTTCATCATTCCTAAATAAAAATCATTTAATCTCCAGTTTACATCCTTTACTTTCTAATATGTTAAGAAAATAGCTTTAGGGGCTTTTACACACAAAAAATGCACGGACACTGACTATATATATATATGAAGAAATATAGTTTTATGGTGTGCTATATGGGATGAAGTGCTCAATATCAGAAATAGAGCGTACGTAAATCTAAAAGTGAACATTGAAGTCAACACTCAGAGGCGACAGGCTGTTTCATGCTAGACGCAATCGTCCTTTCGCCTCTGAGTGTTGACTTCAGTGTTCACTATATATATATATATATATATATATATATATATAATTATTTATTTAAAAATATGATTCCAAATCGCTACATAAGAGGTCTCATGTTTCAAAACAAGAGCCGAAAACTTCAATATAATCCTTTAAATTAAATTGAGTTTAAATTAAAATGGGCTCCGTTACATCTTCAAGCGAAATTTTTGTTGGAATAACGTATATCTGAAATTTACTTGTTTTAAAAATTGAAATCAAAATTTCCATGGTAACAGCAAGGGCGAATTGTCTAAATTGGGTAGGCGAGTGTAGGGTGTTAATAATACGTAGCGGTATAGAGATACTTTTAAGATGTCAAGTCGGGGAAAGGTGGGGATGTCTAAAATGAAACGGAAGATATATTTGCCATCGTCTAGTTTGCTTGTCTATGGAGATTTATTTATTTATTTTATTTTATTTTATTATGAAAGGGAATTGTGCATATAAAAAAAGAAAAACTTTCGTAACGTTTGTTTTTGACGACTTCATAAAGGGTTATCTTTTATGTAAGGTATTTAAACTACTTATTTGGGCTATGGATTATGAAGGGTGTTATGTTGTATGCATGCTTGTAGTTAATTATTCCTACTATGAATCTGATGATTGGGCTATTTGTTAAACAAGTTATTATAATTTTTTTTTTTTTATCTAATAATTCAAACCAAAAATCTGATGATGTCTACAAAAAACCGTTAACTCGTGTCTATTATTTAATAGATTATTATTATTTAGATGTTTAATAATGTGCAATTTTTATGGAGGGCACAAGGGCATGGGTCATCCCAAGCTTTACATGTTTCTACCTTGTCAATAAATTTTCCATTTAACTTTTGGTGTCCTATTTGTTTCCTTCAGGTGCCAAAAATATTTTGATAGTGAAGTCTGATTTCTTTTGTTTATATTATTAAAGGAGCATTTATGCTGCCTCCATCTATCTTTAAAATTATTCTTCGTGGACCCAATGTATATCATATTAGTGCTAGGGCTCTCTGTGGATGAAATAGTACATTGGTATACCACAGAATTAATACAACATTTATTTTCTAATGGGCAGTCTTCTAGGTTTCTACAGTTACATAATTTTCCTTTTTATCGTCTGATTTAAGTGCAGAGTTTTTATTAATACAGTTTTGGCATGGGGGTTTGTTCAAGATCTTATTATTGTGTTTTTTTATTATACGTTCAAGATTATCAGGGCAGCTGTAACTCAATTTTAAGGTGTTCTTATTGAATATACTACTAAGCTTACTATTGGTGGGGAAGTGTTTATCAATTAGAGCTAAGAATTTCTGTCCTAGTTTAATACGAACCCTTTGGTTGAACGGAGGGATATGAAGAAATATAGTTTTATGGTGTGCTATATGGGATAAAGTGCTCAATATCAGAAATAGAGCGTACGTAAATCTAAAAGTGAACATTGAAGTCAACACTCAGAGGCGACAGGCTGTTTCATGCTAGACGCATTCGTCCTGTCGCCTCTGAGTGTTGACTTCAGTGTTCACTTTATATATATATATATATATATATATATATATATAGGAATGAATAAAAAAGACAAGAGGAAAAACTATTCTTAGTCGGTACGTTTCATCCTCTGAGCTTTGATAAACCAATGACATTCTTGTTCTTGCAAATAAACATTTTCCTTGATAAAGTCCATGAGAGGAGAAAACGCGGCGGCTAAGAATAGTGTTTCTTCTTGTCTTTTTGTTCATTTTGTTCCTTCAAAGATACACACGATCTGAAAATAATTTATATATATATATATATATATACCGGGTGTAAAAGGAAAATTGTCAGGTTAAACTTTGAACCGTTTTATCTTAGAAATGATTAAAGATATTTTACTGAATTCTCCTCGGTTTTTATAACACTACTGAACTCTCCTTTGAGCAATAATAATGTATAATTATTCTACAAGCTTAACAGAAGAATCGGGATTAATACGATCATAAACATTTTTATCATTAATCATAGCTAAATATCGGAAGCTCATTAAGTATTGAAATAAAGTTCAAATATATATATATGTATATATATATATATATATAATATTCCAGAATCATTTCCAACTTATTCACGATGATCTTCTCCCTCTCTAACCTTCTAACTTCCTGTTCTAGAGTAACAAACTGTCTCACGTTTTTTCACGTACGATTTCATTTTCAAGTCTTTTTCATTGCTCTTTGGAAAGTCATAGCTGAAACTTTTTTCTCACGTCTCCAACTTGCGCCTAAATTGTGTATCCAGTTACAAATGAACAATACTGGTCTTGACTGGCATGATAAGCGATACAAAAAAAGTGCCGTTTTTCTTTTTTTTTTTCCTTTTTTTTAATCATTTCACCTAAAGCAAAGCAGTAAAGCAAGCTAGGAGGCAAGGGATTACTGAGTGTAAAAGAATATGGTAAAAATATAGTATTATGGACATTCAACGGTTAAAACTTTGTAATGAAATCAACTAAAAAAGAAACGCTAGTCTGAGTATGACAACGAGCCCTTCAGTTATCTAATTCTTGTTCTGTTGGGTTTTATTTATTTACTAAAGTGACAGGTATTATTCGATATGTCTTAGGAGTTACCCGTCAGGATCGACGTTGCTTGAGGGGTCAAGCGATAATTGGTACAATGCCTTCATGGTAGTTGATTTCTAAAATCAAATTAATTTTCCTTAGCACTATCTCTCTATATTTCTTAGATTGGGTATTGTAATTATTTACATTATTCGGGTTGTTGTTCTCATCTTTATTGTCATATTCACGAAGTTTCGGCCCTCTTCAGGTGATTGGGATATTGAACTGAACAGTTTTTTCATCTACCGGGGTGGATTGTGCTAGTTCCACGTACCATGCTACTTCAAGATGTCTCAAATATCTTACTTTAACTAAACACTCCAAGTTTTTGTTCACCACTGCAGTAGCCAGGTATTGAAATAGCAATTCTTTGGATCAAGTCGCTGGATCCAACTAACGCTTTTATCCAGTAGGCCATGTGCCTTTGAGGAAAATAAAGGGTTCAGTTCGAAATTTCAAAGCCACTAGGATGCAAGAGGTTACTGAGTGTTAGACAATAGAAGAAAAACTACTATTAAGGAGAGAGAACATTAAAAAAAACAAGAATTACGAAGGCAGAAGATTACAACTTAAATTTCATTTAAATTTTTGAATATCAAACTTAAATGTGAAGCAAAAAGCCGAAAGAAAGTTCCACAAGCGAGAAGTGCGATAAAAGAAACTGTTAGCATAGAACTTACGGTTACATATAACCATTTCAACTGAAAATTAATAAGACCTTGTAGACAATCTAATACTAGGCTTAAATTCTTAAAGTCTAGGTACCATGCGTAAAGTTCATCAGAACAATTACCATGAAAGTATTTATAGAAAAGGCACAGGGAAGGTACATTACAGTGGTGAAAAAGTGACTGAAGGCGAGGTGTCAGGTCAGGACCAGTAACACAACAGATTTTCCTTTAGATTTTATCAAGAATCTCTAATGTATAGCACCGGACCAGATGTGGCAGCAATATTCAAAGTAAGGGCGAATGGTATACATATATGTAAGATAGATTCTGGCGAGAAAAATCGTCTAGCGCGACACAGTGAGCCAACTTCCATAGCTGCA